TTTATATTATCAGTGACCATAGTTTGATTTTGATTTTTCGCAAAAATGAAATTTTTTATGTATTTTCACGTTTTAAAGGTTTCTAAACGTTTGGGCATAGCTTAAAAAATGAATATATGTGTGAGTGTGTGTGCGGATGAAAATTTTCGTTCACGTTTTTTGGAATACAGATCCACCCATTGGTTTGAAAATTGTTCAAAAAATTTAAAAATATTCAAAATCTAAAAAAAATTCAACTTTTTAAAGAAGTAATTTCTTTCAAAATTTTCAAAAATCTCATTTTTGCAAAGTTTCAAAAGATTTTAAGGCTTTTTCAAATCGTTTAATTTTCGGTAAGAAAAGTTCCAGCAATTTGCCTTGAGGCAAGATGCCATGCACCACTAGTTATTTTTGGCAATGTTGTAATTCAGGCGATCTATTAGATGTAGTCCTGTTTCGCCCACATAAATTGCATCGCAATCTTTACAGCCAATTTTGCATACAATGTTGAATGTTCAATCTAAAGTTTTTTTTTTATTATATTTTTAACAGCAATCAGAACCTTACGTCCTATGAGCTGTTGGGCTGAAACTTCTCCTTACTTCGTATTTTTTTAGATGGTAACCCAATGGTTAAACCATCCATATTTGATGATTTTTGTTATTAGACTGACTTTTAAACATATATTGCTATCTATATTTCCAAGTGAAAATCGTTGTCTGACAACTGCTGCCTGACAACAGACTGCTCGAAGTGGGTATCGAACCCGGGACCTCTAATTTAGGTACCGTCAATCTAAAGTTGCACTTAAAAATAATTAAGGCAAACTAATGTCAATTAGATATTTGTGTTGTTTGGAGATTAGTATTCAGACGTTGACAGTATCAGATATTCAAATAAACGCTCGTTTATAAACACCATAGGAGTAGGTTGTTGACAGTTTTGTGACAACCAACATATTTAGAGGCCCAATGACACCAAGAAAACATAATTTATAAAAATAAATTAAGTATACCAAATCTTTAACATACTTTTATTAAAAAATGAAAAAAACGTATCATCAGAAGTTAAGAAAATTAAATTTTAAAGAGGACGGATTAGGAAAGATTATGCCTTGACACAATGCACCTAATTTCAGAGTCTACTAATAAATGTTATAAATTGAGCATCAATACAATAACAATATAAACAGTCGTTGTGCTCCGCCATCCACGAAATAGTGTATGTAAATTGTGTAGATAATGGATTTCTATTGCGCGTTTGAAGATAATAAATACATTTGTTGTAAAGGTCGATTGCGCAAAAAAAGCGATTCCGAAATTCTGATGCAAATAAACACCAACTTTAGTGTGAATTGTTTAGTAATAGAGACGTAAATACGATAGAGACAATAAATAATTTATTGATTCGTAAAATAAAGATTCTGACAATGGTGATGTCGAACTAATCTTAAATGTCAATGAATAACAATTGGCTGCGGAGAGAAGACTATTAGCATCTTCAAGGAACAGCAAAATTTAGGGTGATATTTAAAATTATTTCCCTCTCTCCTCTAACCATTGAATACCTTCTTCTTAAGATTTGGGTCTTTTTTTAATTTGGGCCTTTCTTCTAAATTTAGCTGTTTTACCTTTAAAGTTAACCAGCGACTTCACGCAATTATATCTTATAAATATAAATCTCAAAATATTATTTGGATAAGAATTAATTTCTTCTCTATAATTATGATCCACGTGACTTTTTATTTTTATAACTCTGTTTACAATTCATATCATCGTTAATATGATGTCATTGTTTACACTCTATAAACTGCATAATGACTAATAAATAAATAGATATATGCTTGAGAACTAAAAAACAAAGATTGTAGTTCTAATAATTATAATATTAACATTTAAATTAGTAACTGGTATATTTCTACTTTTTATTAAATGCCCGTAGGGTAAGTATTAGTAATCGCAACAAAATTGAAAATGTTTTTTTTGCATATTTTTACGTTTCACACTGTGGCTGTGTGCGGATATAATTTTTTGTCGACGATTTCGAGAGCACGGATCAACCTATTTGAGACATTCGAAAAAACATTCGATTCCTATTGAAATGTTGACTAATTTTTGGCAAATGTAGGTCCAGCCGTTTCAAACTTCGAATTTGTCAAATGTATTCAAAATTAACAAAAATGTTAAAATATCAAATCTAAAAAAGTCTAAAAGTTCAAAAATTAATAAAGTTATCAAAACAATTTAGATTTCTCGAAAAATTTAAAGATCTTTAAAAAGGTTCTTCCAAAAATTTTAATGTTTCCAAAACTTTAAATTTGTCGAATGTCAAAAAATCGAAGTTTTCAAAAAAAAAAAAACTTTGAATTTGTAAAACATTTTCACACATGCTCTAAAAAAAAATTGAAAAACCCAAAAACTTCAAAATTATTCAAAATTTCAAAATCTTCAAAAGGGTCGTTTTTTTAAAAAAAAAAAATTAATCTTTACAAGAAGGTTATAATTTAAAAAAGAATCCGATTTTTCAAAAACGTCGAATTTTTCAAAAAATTTACAAATCATTAATAAAGTCGTATTTTTTAAAAATTTTAATGATTCCAAAATTTTAAATTAGTAAAATGTTAAAAAATCAAAATTTTCAAAAAAGAATCAAAATTTTGAATTTGTCAAACGTTTTCAAAATTGTCAAATATGTTCAAATAAAATAAAAATTCACGAATAAAATGTAATTTTTTTAAAAATTTCGTATGAGAAGTTCTAGCAATTTGCCTTAGAACACGATACCATGCATTTGAAGTTTCAAGACCTCATGAACAATGTATGCATGCATGTGTATGTGGTTGTGTATCTGTATGTATGTGCGGATATAATTTTTCGTCGACGATTTCGGGAGCACGGATCAACCATTTAAGTCATTCAAAAGACATTCGATTTCCGATGAAATGCTGATTGATGTTTGGTAAATGTAGTCCAGCCGTTCCAAACTTTGAATTTGTCAAACGTTAAAAAAATCAAAACTAAAATAAAGTTTAACATTTCAAAAATATTCAAAAGTCTCAAAAAAATTCAAATTTTTCAAAAAATTTAAAGTTCTTCAGAAGGTCGATTTTCCAAAAATTTTAATCTTTCTAATATTTTGAATTTGTCAAATATCAAAAAATCGAAATTTTCGAAAATCGAAAAAAAAATCAAAATTTTGAATTTGTCAAACATTTTCAAAAATGTTTGAAAAAAATCAAAATTGTAAAGTCTAATATTTCCAAAATTCAAATCTTTCAAGAAAATTAAAAATCTTTAAAAAAGTTTTTCCAAAAATTTTAATCAATTAAAAATAAGTCTACAATTTCA